GGGGGGGAGAAGCCCAGTGGGACCACGGCGCTTGGCAAGCCCTCGAGCCGGGGCCACCTCCCTGAGGAGCTTGCTGGCTGCTCTTGTCTGTGAACCAGCCTCTCCAGATTGCGAACCAGGAGGTGGGCAGTTCAAACCCCCCAGACCCCCCAAAGGAGAAAGCGGAGGCTGTCCGATCCTGTAGATCCATAGTCTCGGGAACCCCAGGGGGCAGGTCTGCTCTGTCCTGGAGGGTCCCTGTGTCAGGGTTGACTGGATGGCTGTGCGTTCGTTTGGTCTGATTCTATCTGTAGGGCCAGGGCTGCTTTGACCGAGATGAGGCTGGGCGAGGGGGCAGGGAGTCAGGAGAGTGGTGCGGGGCTGCCCGCCGGCACCCCAGTGTCCCCGCTCCCCTGTTGCCCCCGACTTGGCCGGCAGCACCGCATAGAGGAAACAGACCTTATGACGGGTCAAATCTGGCTTTTCATTTCCAGCCTCAGAGTCCTTGCACACAGGTTCCCCAGGACACCAGTCCCTCCCTGCCATGAGGGCTCTGCTCTCTGCATCCCTCTTGTCTGAGGGGCTCAGTGGTGCGCCTCAGTTGGGCCTGTTGCCCCCACCCACTGCACTCTCACAGTCCAGCACGCCAGAGGAGGGGCACAGGGTCTCCAGTACCTTCGAAGGGGAACTTCCTGTGCTGAGCTCCGAAGCTGTTGCTGCCGCCTCCGCTGCCGGGGCCGGGAGGTGGCTTCTTGAGGGGAGCAGCATCTCCTACAGGGGAGCAAAGAGAAGGTCCAGTCACCAGCCAGGTTCTCTGACCACTCAGGATAGGAGGGGCGCTTCCTTCAAAGCTGTGTGCTCAGCTCCGGGAGGGGCCCCACTCCCCGGTCCTCACACAGGCTGCTGGTCTGGGAGCTACCTCCTGAGCCGGGTCACACCACCTCCCCCAGCTCAGGCCACTCCACACTGAGACACACATCGGACCACCATCCCATTTGCCACCTGAGCACAGAGGGCTTCTCCAGGAGCTCTCCTGTGGGCTCAGAGGAAGTGAAGGAGTCTTAGGAGGGGCGGGAGCTCAGCCAGCGGCCCCACCCCTCACACACCCCCTCAGCCCCAACATCCCAGGCAGAGTGGAAAGCCTTCCTGGTACAAGACAAAAACTCCTTGCCGTCGCGTCAGGCGGGTGCCCACTCTCAGCGCCCCCACAGGATGTGGTAGAACTGCCCCTGTTGGCTTCTGGGACTGGGAGTAGAAAGCCTCGTTCGAGGTGTTTTGCTAACAAGTCAACGCTGTCTCAGAGGGACCCTAAAGAACAGGGTCCTCTACAGGAGCAGACAGCCTCAGCCTGGTCCCGCGGAGAGGCTAGTGGTTTTGAACTGCTGACGGACGTGTGGTCAGCAGCGCGCTAGACCACCAGGGCGCCGAGTGAGAGGCGGCTTCCAAAAGGGCCTGGAAATACACCACCCCCACCCCCACCCCGTTGTCCATCATCTTTTGGATCCACAGGGATCTTTTGGATCCTGCTCACCCACCCTTCTCCCCGGGGGCCGGCCTGGGCATGGCAGGTGGCTCTTCTTTCCCAGAGGCCTTTGCAGCAGTTTTGCTTGAGGCTGGGCTGGGCTTCTTCAGACCCAGGAGGTCGGCATCCATGTCGTCCATGTCCTAGGGAGACGGTGTGGGGGGGAGGGTTTGTCCCCAAGGCCTGGGTAGGTCTGAGCAGCTGGTATTTCTCGGGGGGGAGGGCCGGCACTGCGGATCGAGCAAGGGTGGGGCACGGCTGAAGCAATCTCCCCGGGTTGGGGTCCAGGCACTGGGTGGAGAGGGCTCAGGTGGGGCTGCCACTGGCTGCTTTGAGCGGTGCTTTTTCCTATGTGAAGCTGTCTGACGAAGGCCTGCAGGACGGGCCAGTCTGCCCAGGAGGCAGGGAAGGCCACAGGGCCGAGAACCGGTGCCACCCAGGTTCTCAGAAGCTTCGCTGATGCTGGAGCTCTGAGCTTGCACCGAGGGTGAAGTGGTTGGATTCCCAAGGAACCTTCCCTCCCTCCCTGGACTGTGAGAAGGGGCCCGAGGCAGAGAAACCCCCCCTTGTGTGGGGTCAAGGGCAAGTCTGGTCCTCAGCAGGCCTGGGGTCAGGGGACCTGAGCTGCCACGGAGGAGAGGGGATGGGTGGCTGCGTGAGGGCAACGAACAGTCCCTGGGACAATGTGCTCACAGGACACTGGAGCAAGCAGGGAGGCAGGCAGCGGGGCGCTCTGCTCGAGTGACAGTGGCCTCAGTGAAGACCTGCCCCCTGGGGAGGGGCACCGGAGCCCCGGCAGAGGGAGACTTATGAATAACGTACGAGAGAATGAGAAAGCTGTTCAGAGAAGGCAGGTGAGGGAGAAGGGCAACGGGCCGAACGGGAGCAGGGTGCAGGGTGAACGGGCCGTCGGCTCTGGCTCATGGGACTCAAAGGCCACATCTGGGGACCCAGCCGGTTGGCAATGGGGAGTGAGATTCTTTGTGGGATCGGGAACCAAGCAGGGGACAGACTCCCGACTGGCAGAGCCCCCAGCATGAAGCCAAGGGTGAACCCACAACCGATGGTTGAGTGGTGAACCAGGAGGGGCTGGCAGGAGACCCCTGGCAGCAGAAGGAGGGGCATGAGGTCCGGAGGGGGCAGAGTTGTGAGCTTGTGAGATCATGGTGGATGAACCATGCCGGGGGTGGGCTTTGTGCATGAGGTGATGGGAGGGCAGCTGGGCAAAGGGGACAGGCAGGGGAAGTGTGTGTGTGTGTGTGTGTGTATGTGTGTGTGTGCATGTACACGGTGTGTGCATGTACACGGTGGAGAAAAGTTGAGAGCAAGTCTGAGCCGGGGGACTTCTTAACTTGCTCTCCACCTGGGGCCATCTCAGTAGGCTTGGGAGGCTGACTCATGCCCATACGGCAGGGCAGGCGGCAGCTTGGGGGTAAGCTCCATCTCCTCTCAGTAGGCATAGGACAGCCATAGACCCCTGCCCTGCCACCAGTCGGCACCGCCTCCAAGAACACGGGGGTGGGGGGGGGTGGGGGGGGCCACGCGGCTGCCGAGTTACCTTCAAGCCCGGGCCGAGTTACCTTCAAGCCCTGGAGCATGGCTTGCGGGTCTGCGTCCGAGACGTCTGAAACCTGAGGCACGGGGGGACAGCAGTGGTCAGTCAAGGCTCCAACAGCACACAGGGCTCCAGCCCCTCCCCTGGCTCCTAGGGCGGAGCAGCCCTCCACCAAGGGGCCGTTGGCGGGAGGGTCCCTCAATCCCCCTCCTGCAGTCCTTGGCTGCTCAGCTGTGGAGACCAGACAGACGGCACTGCCCCTTTGTCCCCCCAGGAGGGAGAGAAGCCCTTCTCCACCTCTGGCCCCAGGAGCTCGCTTTCCTGGGCACTCTCCCCAGTGGAAACCCGAACTCAGTGCTGGCCAGTCAGCACCGACTACCAGCAGCCCCCACAGGGCAGGGTAGAGCCCACTGGCCCCTCAGAATGCCCAAAGCCGTCATCTTTACAGAAATGGATGGCCACATCTTTCTCCTGTGGATCCGTGGATGGCTTCGCAGTAAGCACTCAGTCACTGTGTCACCAGAGACCCGGCACTTGCAGGCGGGGTTAGAGCTTGCTCTGGGTCCTCCTCCCAGCCCCTAGGGATCCCTGTTTCTGGGCAAGGGGTTGGGGACGGGCCAGCTCACCTCTGCATCAGCTCCCGCCAGGCCAGCCATGGTGCCGAAGAAATCGTCTTCCAGCAGGGACCTGCGGAGTGGGGGGGTCAGCCCACCTGGGACCTCTACTGCATTGGGGAACGCTGAGACCGGGAGAGGGGCTTAGGGCCCAGTGACCCTAGAGAGACCCATCTCTGGGAGATCAGGGGCTTCCCAGGTCGCCTTGTGCCAAGGTTTCCCTTTAAGAATCAACTCTTTAAAAACATCCGTAGGTAAGAGAGGCACAGCTAGGGCTGCTTTGGTCAACGGGGAGGTGAAGGGCTGAGAAGGCACAGACCCCCTCCAGGAGAACCCTGAACACCTTAGAAGAACATGCGGGACTTGGAACCCAGGGACCCAGGACAAGCCTCTCATCTGAGGATTAGGCAAGCGAGGCCGAGGGCAGGGCAGACAGTTGTCCAGAGGCCACCAGAGGCAGGATGGACGCTAAGGCAAGACTTAGGGTTTTCTGTCGAGGTCTCCTGCCAACCCGGGCTCCTTCGGTGAGTGACCAGGGAGCTGGGGGAAGGGGTGGAAATGACCGACGTTGAAGGCGATGGTCACTGAGCGGGCAGGGGGCTGGGAGGGGCTAAGAACTCCAAAAGGCGATTACTTTGTTCTAGCCCTCGAAGGCAGTGGCTGAGACCCGCCTGGGGCGTTGCTGGCGCGAGGGGCTAGCTTGACGGGCTTCTCAGGAAGGGTGGCTGGAGGAAAAAGAAGAACACGGAAAAGGTATGACCGGGCTCAGGAGACCTGGAGCCACGGTGGGAAGGGTCCCCTTTCCCGCACCAAGCTGTCCCCCAGACCTTCCTGCTGTCAGGAGGCTCTGAGTGGAGGAGGGAAGGTGCCCCACAGACTGGTTCTTTTCTAGCAGGAAGGCAGCCCCTAAGTGCCAACTGGTGCCAAGCAAAGAGTCCCGCCCCATGTCCAGGGAAGAACGGCGTGTCACTTCTGTCCCCAGCCCCATCAGCTGGCACCTGTGGTTGGGCTCTGTGGGCTCCCCAGGGCCAAGTGGAGGACACGCAGACTGACGGTCCCTGGTGAGCCTGAAGTGCTGCCCCTCAGCACAGTGGACACAGAGGTACAGTGCAAGGGACAGCTCTCGGGATCCACAGGGAACTCTTAGAGAAGGGCCTGCGGCGATTTGCTCGGGGGAGAATGTCCTCCCGGGAAGCAGACAGTGACGAGGCCAGACCTCGTGACTCTGTACCCTAAGCGCTGCGGGGCTGTACACTTTGAAACGGCTGCTTTCCGTCAACGAAGAAGACGGGTTTAAAGGGCGGCAGCAGGGGGACCTAACTGAGGGTTACTTACTGTCATCCCCCAAGAGGTCACCCAGGACGTCATCGATGGAGCCTGGAACAGAGAAGCAGCTGCCAGGGTTTCAGGAAGTAAGGACGCCGCCAGGAGCCCTCAGCCCCGGCCCTGCAGCTCGCCGGTGAGGGCCTGGCCCTTCACCTTCCCTCTATTAGCCAAGGTGCGGGCTACCACGCCAGCAACCAGACCCCAGGAAGGACAGAAATGGGAAAAACGCTTCTTCAAGGAGTGATGGTGAAGTGTTTCGGGCCCCTCCACATTCTACGTGGTTCCCCAGGCACACACCACGGGGCGTGGCTCCCAGGGTGAGTTACAGCTGTTTATGCGCAAACACTGGGGGTGCTGCGTGAATGAGCAGTGTGTGACACAGTGATGCCGCGGGAGTTGTTGGAAAACGGGCGTGGAAGGACTTGCTCGGTGAGGCAGGGGTAGCCACGAACCAGCCACAGGTGAGAAAAGCAAAGTGGACGGAGAACGCGGTGGCGGTGCGGGGCTGGCCCTCACGAGGGCGCTCCGAGTTGAAACCGAGTCTGTGGCACTTAGCAACAACGGACACGGGCCTCATTCGAAATGCGGCATTAGAGCAGTTGGTGCGGCAGGCGGGGCTATGCATATGCTTTCCATCCTCCCAACTTACAGGAGAACTGCTCTCCACGGAGACTCTAAGCCCAGGCAGCCTCATCTGCCTGCGGGAGGAGTGGGTGAGGGGGTTGAAGGGCTGACCTTGCAATGAGCAGTCGGATGGGTAACCCAGCCCACCAACTGCATTCCTTAGACACGAAACCCTACAAGCAAAGCCACTGCCACGGAGAGATTCTGATGCACAGCAACCGACCCGGAAGGGCCAGGCACAACTTCCCCCAGTGGTTTTTCCCAGACTGTGAGTCGTTACAGATTCAGAAAGCCTCCATCTTTTTGGCCTGAACGCTGATCTCAAGGTCAGCCGCCCCACGGGGAACCCACCCCTCCACCTGGATGGACTGCCTACATTTAGGCATAGCTGCGTCTAGACCAGCGGTTCTCAACCTGGGGGTCTCGACCCTTCCGCAGGGGTCACCGATTCATCACAGTAGCAAAATGACAAGGTGAAGTAGCAACGAAAATAATTTTCTGGCTGGGGGGTCACCACCACATGAGGAACTGTATGAAAGGGTCGCGGTGTGAGGAAGGTTGAGAACCCCTGGCCTGAGTGAAGGCGCCCTGGTGGCGTAGTGGTTCTGTGGTGGGCTGTGGCTGGAAAGGTCAGCCGTGTGAAATCACCAGGTGGTCTGCGTGAGAAAGAGTGACAGCCCCCCAGTCCTGCCTTGTGCTTCAGGCTAGACCGGAGCATGTACACTGGTATAACACACGGGATCCAGGTCTGACACAGAAACAGGAGTAGTGATACCAGAAAGGTCGGAGGAAGCGTAGGGAGGAGGGGAGGAAGCGGGAACCAATCTCCACCATCAGTGCATAAACCCCAGCCCGCCGGGGGATGAACAACAGAAATGTGGATGAACGGAAACAACAGTCAGTGTAAAAGATAGAAAAACAAGAATAATTTACAACTTATCAAGGGGTCAGGAGGCCGGCGGGGAAGGCAAAAAGGAGCTGACGTTGATGCGCAAATAGAAAGTAAATGTTTAAAAAATGATGGCAACACACGTACAAATATGCTTGATACATGGATGTGTGGATTGTGATAAGAGCTGGAAGGCCCCCAGGAAAATGATCCAAAAACAGAGTTAACAGTTTGGAAACTCACAGGGGCAGGTGTGCCCTCCCCTCAAGGGTTGATTGGTATCGGTTGTCACCGGCTTGATGGCAATGAGTTTGGTTTTAGTATCTAAATTGTCTCTGGAGTCTCAGAAAGTGGGGAGATGGAACACAAACACACACACACCCCTTACAGGGGACGCTCCATTTCTTCACTTACCTTTTAATCCCTTCTTGGTCTTTGCTGCCTAGAACGAGAAACACCAAGTGAGTTAACAGAATCAGAGAAAGGTGCACTGAAGCAGATGTGCCAGGTGGGAATGCAGAATGAACTGCTTCCCCTTTGCCAAGCTGCCAAGGGAAGGAACCCCTGTGCAAGGAGACAGACAGCCTCCTTTCTTTGTGTGTTCTTAGAGCTCCTGAGAAAGGGCTAATTCTGAGCATGACGCCAGCACCCGCTCACCACTAACTGCCAGGTGCCACACCTGTCTCTTTCCGGCCAGGATGTAGCATCCTCGACTGCTCATCTTGTCTTTAGGCCCCCTCAATCCCCGTGCCAGACAAGGAAAAACGTTTTCAGCTAAACATCCGTGGCTTGCTTATTGTTGGATTTGACCTTTGAGAGCGGCGTGACTTTCCATGATGCTCCTCCAGGGGTGCTGTCTGGTTCTGCTCACCCACCCACCTCTCACTGTGGTGTACAGTCAAGGTTTGGGGGGAGAAGAGGCCCCATTTCCAGATGTCCCACTCTGCATCCCACCTACCATCTCAAGGCTGCGGGGCACCGTCTGGCTCCCTTTGGAATTCCACGCGCACCAGGCCCCTCCTGGCCTGTTAACAAGTGGGCTGCGGAAAGATGACGCACGGTTAACCCCAGTGCCTGAGCCAGAGGCCCACCAAGGTTTCTCTTGAGTTACTCCTTCAAGAGGTTCCGAGGAGGAAAAATTAGGAGCTGATGCCAGGGGCTTAAGTGGAGAGCAACTGTTTTGAGAATGATGAGGGCAATGAATGTACAAGTGTGCTTTACACAATTGATGTATGTTTGGATTATGATGAGTTGTATAAGCCCCTAATAAAAGTATTTTTTTAAAAAAGAGGTTCTCAGGCGGCAATTCAGAAGCAGAGCAGTCTGGGTCACGTAATGGGCTTTCTGAGATCTGCGTAGCATGCAGTGCAGCAGCCCCACCCTGTATTCTGGAGGGTGGGGGGTGCGGGGATGACAGACAGGCACCCAGTTCAGAAAGGAGGCCAGAACCACAGGTGTGAGCCGTGGGCCCCCTTCACACTGCCTTCCCTGGCCAAACTCTGCCATCGAGTCAATGCTGACTCACAGCGACCCCCTAGGACAGCGCAGAACTGCCCCTGCTGAGTTTCCCAGACTGCAACTCTTTACAGGAGCAGAGTCCATCATGCAGGGTGGTTCACGGTTTTGAAATGCAGACCCAGCAGATCGCAGCCCAATACGTAATCACAATGCCTACAGGGACCCCCATCTCCTTCACTGACCGCGGAATTTTTCCTCTTTCCACGCTACGTGCAAATCCCACTCACCTAAGACAGACGGCTGTCTCAGAATGACATCTCCAGGCTGCCCAAACGGATTGTTGGCATGCTTCCGCAGGAAGGCATGGAGAGGCACGCTTCTCTTTCTCTGTCCTGTGAGTAGAAATCGGGGTTTATCTGGTGGGACATTCCCAGGCAAGGACCACCTGGAGGGCAGCGCTCAATCCCACCAGCCAATCTACCGCAGTGAGCTGTGGTCTTGGGAACCCTGCATGCTGGAAGCGCCCGGAGGGTCGGTCTGGTCTGGGTCTGGAATGGCAACCTCCAGGGCGAGTCCCAGCATGCTCTGCCTCCTAACACCACGGAAAGTCCCCATCTCCCATCCAAGGGGATCCTGCCTCAGTGGCCCAAGCTGCGGGGGTTTCCCGAGCAGCTCTCAATGGCCAAAACAACCCCTTGGTGGTACAGTGGTTAAAGCGCTGGGCAGTTAACCAAGATCGGAGCCCAAGAGAAAGATAGGTCCATAATGCTGACGGACTTGGGAATGATACGGGCAGTTCTGTTCGGTCCCACAGGGTCGCGCTGAGTCGGTATCACTCCGGCTGGGGGTTGGCAAAGGGTCAAGGGGCAGAGTCCCTTCGCTTCATCCCATCCCAGCCAAACCCGTGCCAGGCATTTTAAAATCCCGCCCCCGCCCCTTGGCAAAGCCCACGCCGGTCACCCGCTTGGGGCAAAGACGGCCCGGCCCGCACGGTGCCTATGTCGGCACCGCGTGCAGCCTCTACGCTCCCCACCCCGGTAGCCCTCGGTTACACGTCATGCCCCTCGGAGCGGCCGCCGGGGCTGCTGCAGCCTCAGCCGCCAGTCGGTCCTACAGGAATCCAGTTGGGCCAGGCCTCCCGCCTCGGGGACAAGCGGAAGTCGACCTCTCGCGGGAACAGTGCATCCTGGGAATTGTAGTCCGCCGCCCGTTCACCCACCAGAGCCAAGCTAGGAGGGACGCCGGAATAAACTGCATTTCCCAGGGTGCTTCGCGGCGGCCGTTTGCCACGGCTGTCCAGTAGTCGCAGTTCGGCGCGTTGCTAGGAGCTGCTTCGACGCTGCCTTGGGCTGAGGGCGGCTGGCCTGCTCGGCCAGTAGGCTTCTCCTTGGCTGACAGGTGGACACTGTCCTCGAACACGGAACACTGAAAGTTCCTCAGGTGGACAGGGGGGGGTGGGGGCGGGGGTGAATTTAAAATTAAAAGGTTCACGTGTGCTCCTTTAGCCCACATCCCATAGCTTGAAGGATGCACTGGGCCCTCCTCAACGTTTCGAAGCCTGAACGAAACCCAACAAAAGGACATGGACACATGGATGTGTGCTAAGCACATGTTTTTATTAAGGGATATTCCGTTTCCGTGAGAGGGTTAGTGGTTGATTAACTGGTGCTCAAAGACCCATCCTGTGTATCCATGAGCCATATGCTCTGGGCCCCATCCCCTCCCCCCTCTGAACTCCTGTCCCCAGAAGCATCCAGCTGGGGCTGTTAAGTGCTAAAATGCAGATGGTTCGAGACCCACATTCAAACCACAACAGTGAAAGAAAAGTGGGTGTGTGTGTGTGTGTGTGTAGAAGGCAAAAAGTATTTACCTGCCCCAAAGGATACGAGTTACTTCATGGAAACCAGAGAAGTTGGAGTAAGTATTCACAAATTAGTAGTCAATCTGAAAATCACCTAATTAGCATCCAAAAATAATTTGTAAAAACGAATGGCTTCTAATTAAGACTTGTTTTATTTCCCCCCCCCCCCCCCCCCCCCAAAAAAAAAGAATGGCCCAGGTAGACTGTCTTTCCAAGACCACCAATGGCCTACTGATGTTGAAAGCAAAACAGCACAACTCCTACAATCTAGGAATTTGTTGATCTGCAGCCGACGTGTCTGCTACTGCTTCTAATTCCCGATAGGATTGTTTACTACAGAGGCCACAGGAATGGGCCCTGAAATGCTTACTCAGTTTGGGTAGCTAGAACCTAAACCCTACCATCATCCATCTTTCAAAACGCTAAGTGCTTTCCAAGAGTCATTTATGCTGTGCTTTGGTCTGACCCTCTGAGAACATAGTAAATCTTTAACCAGCTGAGATTCTGGGGGAAAAAAAAAAAAAGATCAAAACCCACTGAGTCAGTGGGAAGAACCTCTGAACGGTGGGTCTCTGATGGACCCCACTTCCTGACACTGCTCCTCCCCAGGGGTCTGTGAGGCCTCTCTTCCCACTCCACCCACATTCAAACAGCAGCATCTCCTTCACTCCCTGCCAGCTAAGGTGAATGGAAAGGTGGTGGATGGTGGGGACAAGCGAAGGGGGATATATTTTTAGCAAAGCAGCAGTTGTCTTAAGAATGGAGGCTTCCCAACCTCATGAATTCAGAAAGCCGCGTTTCTCCAACCCAAGGCTTGCACAGGGGCAAACCTCAACGATCTGATCCACTGTGAGCTACAGAAGTGCATTCCACCTCCAGGGGTAAGTTGGCTGGTTACCAGCAGGGGTCCTTTAAAAGCTTGTCAAGGAAACTTTGGCAAGGTGATGTTCTGAAGACAAGCCAGTACTTAGCAGTACTAATGTTCTAAAAGATAAGAACATTACATCTCCAGAGGCTTTGGGGCTGTGCTTTGAGGTCACTCATGTCCCAACACTGACACACATCAGTGTGTGGGGGGTAGAGCCTCAAACACTAGTGCTCCCAGCATGGGAGGAGGAGTGATCAACCAGCTTTTACAAGGAGCTGTCAGCTCCTAATTTCATATACTGCTCAGAATACTCTTTAAAAAGGCTTAAGCCAGTATTACCTAACAAAAGCGGATAGTCAATTAATCAACATTATCTTGAAGGTAGAAATTTATCTTTGCTTTTTGTCTGACGATGGTTTACCAGAGCTCTGACAAACGACGGCATTGGTTGCCAAGGCTGGCTTGCTGGGAAAACTAAGCTGGGTCAGCCACTCCAGTATTAAAACCCACTATGTCTCGTGATGTGTCACACCGTTTCTTTTCCTCTTACAAGTACAAGTCCGTGATATTTTAGTCTTTTATTTTTCTGATTACAATGAGAAGTTCAGTACAAACATTCCAATCTTAAGGAAAAGTGTTAAATTATCAGATTAATGTGGGAAGAAAACTCCAAGCATGGGATTGAAGGCAGCCGTGCTGTCAACATCTTCAGAAGGGCCCAGAGCTCTGGTGAAGACGTGTCACCTCACCTTCAGGTCTTGCCCACAGATGTCACCTGTGCATACGGTATTTCACCAGTCTGAAATAATTCTGCGTCGAACAGCTCAAGGTTCAGAAACTTAAAATGAACTCGCTGTTATTTCCCATAACCTGAATGACTGTCAGATGATGATGCCCCAAAGGAGTTAGGACAGGGTGTGTTCTAGTTCTACCGGTGGAAAGATCAAGGCTTGGGTTCACACAGTGCTTCTGCTGTAAGTGGAAGGCTTTGTATCACCAGGTGCAATGGAGTATAGATTTTATGTCAGGTCCCAGGAGGAGAGTGGATGGTATTGAGGAAATTATATTGCTATTGAATTAGACTATCTGTCAAGACTGATTCAAGAACAACTAGTTTGATGGGGCAGCTACAGGTTAAAAAATACACAGAATGATTTGTGTTGAGTTACTGATTTTAAGGGGGAAAATGCATTAAGAGGTCTCTCCTTGAAATAGAGAATGATTGTGTCAACTAGATTTCATATGAAAGGACACTAGCCATTCAGATAAAGCCCCTAGAAACACTGAAAGCAGATAAAACAGACAATGAGAACCAGGCTATGGAAACCTCCATTTATACTTTTTTCAGTTTCCAGAAAATGTGGTTTGAAAGGCTTATTGTGCTACTTCTGGGGGTTAAGAGGTGAAAGGCTTTTATTGTTTTTAATTCCCAATACTTCAAGCATTTCCATGGCATATGGATGACAGAGTATTTGGAATCTGAATTGTCCCAGAAAATCTAACCAATTGAGGTCACCAGAGTTGCTGCAGTGCCTCGGCCAAGGGCTCTTCCTATCCTTGTTCTCAGCAGGAGGCGCCTCCCGAGGGCAGGGGGGTGGGGGGTGGAAGAGAGCCAGAGCAGTATGACAGAGGCCCCATGTCAAGGTGACTTTGCTACCTTCTCCTTCCTGAGACGTTGGGGACAAGGGAGGAAGTGGTCGAGCTACTGCAATGACAACTTATGGATTCTTTGCATGGAAGGTCAAGTCCTGATTACATGACTAGTCAGATGGGGGAGCAAGCTGTGGGCAAAGGCAGGCAAGCCTGCAGACAGACTACACTGTGCTTCCTGGGGGTGTGCGTCTCCCTCACGGCCCGCTTCTAGCGGGAGCAGGGAAGCCTGGAAGGTTTGATGCCATTTTAAAAATACCTTTGCTTAAAAGCACGCCTATATCCAGTGATTAGTAGTAATTAAAACCTGAAAATTATTAACTACTTAGTAGTTACATCCCGTTAATCGATTATCTACCAAGATCAGCAGCATCACAGAGGGAAGCCACACTGCGTTTCTTAAAGCTTTGTCTGAACGCTTAATGGGTCTCTTTCAGTGTGAATTGCACTTACAACACATCCATTTTCCACCCAAATCTCAGAAGTTTGTGAATCTTTCCCCCCAGCTTTCATTCATTAAGGGAATAAAAGGGTCAGTTTCTCATTTGCTCTACAGCTCTGGGAATTCATTGTGAAGACCACCTCCTGGAGCCCATCTGGCCCAGCCACGAGGCGCTCTGGAATCACAGCTTGGACTGCAGGGGCTTCAGGTGCTTGTGGTAGGAATCATGGACCTGTAGGGGGGAGGAGAAGAAAGGACTGGTTTGCCACGTGCAACCCAACGCTGTTCATCAGAAAGCACAAGGGTCTGTGTGTGGACCCGGATCCAAACGAATGCCCTGGCGTGGGTTAACCGTCACTGAAATTCACCAGCAGGAAGTACATGGGGCACTAACGTTACTGCATCCTAATTTTGTGCGTGTTTGGGGGGAACGTTCAATAATTTCATTATTAGCCCTTCAAGAGCAAACCTGCTTAATGTGGATGACCCAACCCCCTTCTGAACTTGTTGCTCACACTCTTTTAAAGAGTTCACAGAAGAGATCAATTCTAGGTGGGTCTTCCCAGCTTTTCAAAGGTCAGGGGGAGAAAAGCTTTTATAAAAAGTCCCTGAGTTGTATTTACTCGTTTTACTCTTGTTAACTGACAGAGTCGTATTTCTAGCAGCTCAGTGTAGAAAACTGGGTGAACAGAGAGGAGAGCAGGCAACACCCTCCACCCACTGCAGCCCACAAGTATGAAGGGGAGGGCGGCCCTTCATTCTGTTTCCCCACAACCTTTGAAGCCCCCGGAAACCCTCTGCGACTATTTGGGTGTGCAAGACCTTTCTTAATTGACCGAAGACTTTTCCTCCTTACCTCTGTTTTGTTTAGCGGGGATTTTTTGGCCCACTCAAACAAGTTTTCGTAGACATTCCCATCGTAGCGGCCAAGGATGGAGCCGAGCGTCAGGTCCTGGAAGTCAAAGGCATCCACCAGGGCGACGGCGTCCGGGCGGATGGCCATCAGGAGCTCCTTGATCCGCTGGTCCACTTGGGAGACCTGTGACTCCGTCAAGATGCTCCCCTGCAGGAAACCAAAGACCCGTCTGCGCCGCGCACGGCTGCGCACTAGACCACTACTGGCTTTCTACCAAAAAACAACAAGCTCGGACTTGACCTTGGGAATTACCTGAAGAAAGTCCCCAGCCTTCTGACTGATTCCATGCAGAGAATACAGAAGGCACAGATTCCGTAGGGCAGCTTGAACGGACTCGTCTTGAATTTTGTGGAGTTGTTCTGCAAAGAGCTTAACGACCACAAAGTGGCAGTGTGCCTAGAGAGAAGACGACCGCGTGAGGCCTGGGGGGACAAGGACAAGCCTGATGAGGCCACTGGAGAACTGTAGTGGGCAGAGGAAACCACTGACCTCACTTGCTCGCACAAGGTCGACGGAAGTGAGGTTCCAAGCTGCCTCCTTGCTTTTTCTGCGACTTACTTCAGCTTGGAGGTTTTTTGCAGCAACTTCTACCAATCTGTTAAGGCATGGAAGACAACTTGAGCTCCGAGCACACAGTCCCGTCCCCCCACCCCCTCCCCCGTGCCTCCCTCTCTGCAGAGCCCCCACAGGCTCCTCTGGCTCTGGAGGGGAGCGCACCTGGCGGCGCGGAGCCTGTATGCTTCGGCGAGGCTGTCAGGGCTGTTGATATCCACCGTGCTGGGCCAGACGGCCACCTGCTGGGGCTGAATGCGCTGACTGGGCAGGTCGTTCAGGTAGGATACCATGCCACACACCAACTTTCCTGAGTGCACCTGGTCGTAGCTTTTCATCAGGAACCTAAACCGCACCAGCACACACATGTCTTGAGAACCCAAAATCCCACACACCTGAAATGACTTAACACCTTGGGAGCTGTTCCAGCTGGTAAACGAGGGGCTGCTAATGGGCGAAGAGGACTGAAAGATGTGGACTGCCAGAAGAAGCCAGGCCAGAGCACGCCTCAGGCAAAGAGGGCAGGGATTCAGGTGAGACCCATCCCTGGAGAAGGACATCATGTTTGGTCCAGTGGAGGGGCAGGGACAAGGCGGAAGGCCCTCAAGGAGGCGGACAGGCCCAGTGGCTGCCTCTGTGGGCTCAGGCCCGGGAACAGCTGTGAGGGTGGGCAGGACCTTGCAGTGTGTCTTCTGTTGTGCGTGGGGTCGCAACTTGTGGTAAACAAAGATTTCTCCCAAGTCGTCTCCCCCAAGTATAGGTTAGACTTAGGACACTGCTTGTAATTAATGATAACCGATTGTCAAGCTACCTCCCTGAAGGCAGTCAGTCGCCAGACAACTGTCTGGGCCCACCACAGGTGGAGTCCACTCCCTGCTGTTAAGGACCATGGGCTACTTATTACCTCCCCTTCCTATTATGTGGCTACCCCTAGATCATCCCCCTCCCATTACTGTATTACCTATAGCACAACCCTTTCCTGTGATGTATTGTATGTCTTCGCCTGTAATTAGAGGGCTTGCACGTCCACAGAGCATATAAAAGCCTTGGTTAGCATTAAATCTCTCTCTCCACGTGGACCACCGAGCGGGGCTGAGGTGAGCATGCTACCATGAAACCTGTCTGACTCCATTATTTCAATCTCTTATCTCTCATGCTCTCTCTGACTTTACTATTATCTTTACTTTTCATCGCTGTACCATTGCGCCTACCAGACCTGTGATGATGTGCTCGGGGCTGGCTACCTTCACAGGAACTGGCTCGGTGACGAGTCTCCCAGGAGATGAGGGTGAGGGGCAGGAGCCGAAGAGGAGACTGAAGTGCTCGCAGGTCGGGAAGGAGGCTCTCACCTGGCCGTCTGGAGCATCATGACTGTGTTCTCGCCCTCAAAGGTGCACGTTGGGGTGAAGTTGACGTAAATGTTGGGGAGGCCACTGCAATGGGAATAGCCGTGTCCCCCACAAGCCATCCGGCATGCCTCGATGGCCGCATTGGTGGTCCAGGAGGTGAAAGCCTTGAGCCCGGCGGTGAGGGCGTGGAGCTGAAAAGGAAGCGCCCAAGGCCATCAGAACCCTGTGCTGTCGAGCGCCCGGGGTCAGCAAGAGAGCGTACTGGGTCCGCTGCCACTGCCACTCACTCTGGAGCCACACACTTGTCCTGCATGGCCGGCCAGTCAGCGCCCCCACCCGGAACTACGCTTCCTGGCAACCTGGGCATCACCTAAGGCCCTGTGACTGACAATGACCCCCCCACCCGGGCTGGCAGTACACTTCTGAAACGGAAGCAGCAAAGCCCACCGCGCTCGCCAGCCAGCCAGCTTCCCGTCGGAGAAGCAGGGTGTGGCTTTCTGGAGAACAGGCGGCTGCTTCTCAGGACATTGCAGCTTGGGGGTTCCCTCTGGCTGTTATCCGGCAGGCAAGGCCGAGACCCAGAGGCTGCTTGGCACGTACCTCGGGCAGCTCGCTCAGGTCCCCCTGGCCAATATCTTCATTGATCCGATGGTAAGTCTCCTTCATGTAAGCGCCTACGAACTGGAAAGCATATGCGTTGGCCAGGAGCGGGAAGAGCTTATACTGCTGGGTCTGAAAATCCAAAATCTGTGGTTCGGGCTCACTAGAAACAGAGACAAGAAAACAAACGGTAAACAGCCGCCCTTCTCTGTGCCTTCATGACACACACGCCCCGACTTATCCCTCTCCAGCAGGGAAAACAGAGAGGCAGTCACACAGGTAGAGCCTGGATGGAAATCGAGGTGATCGCCTCAGAGACCATGATTTCCATGACCTCGCTGAGTTGTTTTCGTTGGACGGAAGTCTTTTTTTTTAAAATCATTTTATTAGGGGTTCATGCAACTCATCACAATTCATACCTACTTCAATTGTGTAAAGCACATTTGTACATTCATTGCCCTCATCATTCTCAAAACATTTGCTCTCCACCTAAGCCCCTGGCATCAGCTC